AAAAAATCCCCGTCTCCGCCCCCAATCCCCAGTGGGGGAACCCATCACCCCCCCATCCTCGTCCCCTAACGGGGATCGAGTTTCTCCAACCCTGAAAAATCCCCGAGCTTCAACACAAGAACAACAAAACAATATATATCACTATGTTTCATCATCATCAACAAATACATATTTAAATTTTTAAAAAAAAAATTTAATCAGTGTGAGTACACCACACAGATCAGATCTCTCTCTCTCTATCTCTCTCACACACACACACACAGAGATCAGATCACAGAGAAAGAGAGAACAGATCTGTTAGATCTGAGTACACCTCTGCGGCTGTGGCAGTGGGTTCGGTGGTGGTGACAGAGACAGACCTTCTGCGGCGGTGGTGGTGGTGGCCATGAGGAATAGAGAGAGACAAAGTGGAGAGAGAGAGAGAGGGTCGGGGCCAGCGATGGTGGTGATGTCGCCGTCGGTGACTACGAGAGTTGAGAGAGTTAACACACAAAGAAGAACGAAAGAGTTAAGAATGAGAGTGAAAGTGAAAGAGAGAGTTGAGATGAGAGTCAAAAAGAGAAGAGTGAGAGATTAGAGAGTGAGAGATATAAAAATATCACACAACACAGATATTATATATATATATATGCATATAATATAAAAGGTTTGGTTTATTATATATATACATATAAAGGGTATAAAAGTAATTTTACTTCGAGGAAATTCGGGGATGGGGATGGGGCCGGGACCGGGCCGGGGCTTGAACACTGATCACCGTCCCCGGCCCAAAACAGATCAGGGATTGATTTTCAAATACCGTCTTCTCCCCGTCGGGGGTATTTTTCAGGAAAAAACCGCTCAAATCGGAGTCGTGGTCGGGGTCGGGGTCGGGGATCCCCGTTGGGTCGATTTTAAATTGCCATCCCTATGATTGGGGTGGTAGTAAGGGCCACTCTTAGTGTTTCAAAGGCTTTCAAACATGCCTCATCAAAGATAAACGGTGCATCCTTAACAAGTAAACTACACAAATGACAGGATATTTTACTAAAGTTTTTGATGAACATACAGTAAAAACCTACATGCCCTAGGAAAGACCTAACTTGACGCACAGAAGTGGGTGAGGAAGGCCTACAATGAGGTCAACCTTAGCTTTGTCAACTTTTATGCCTTAGGGGGACACAATGTGTCCAACACTATACCCTCACGAATCATAAAATGGCTCTTTTCCCAACTCAAAATCAGGTTTGTCTCCACACAACGAATAAGGACTTTGGTTAAGTTCTGGAGATATTTCTCAAAAGACGGCCCAAACACAGAGAAGTCATCTATGAAAACCTCTAAAAATTTATCCACCATGTCAGAGAAAATGGCCATCATACATCGTTGAAAAGTCGCCGGTGCATTACATGACCCAAAGGGCATGCGCCTGTAAGCAAAAGTGCCAAAAGGGCAAGTGAACATGGTCTTTTCTTGGTCAGTGAGGTACATCGGGACTTGATAATACCCCGAGTAGCCATCAAGAAAACAATAAAAACCCTGCCCCGCTAACCTTTCAAGAATTTGATCGATAAATGGTAGAAGAAAATGGTCTTTCCTAGTCATGGAATTCAATCTCCTATAATCAAGCCTAGGAACACAAGCAGAGGTTTTAAGTTTCCTATGAGTCCTTTCTAGTTCAAGGTCCAAACTCCACAATTCAGGAGCGACAAGAACGCTGCCCGTGCATACACTACACACACGCACACTAAGTTTCGACTCTGTGCACTAAGTTGTGAAAGCAAAATACCTGTTAGACTTATTTATTTTGATGATTTATTTAATTATGTTTTAATTTATTTGAAAGAAAAAAATAAAATCAAAATTTATTTTGTCCCATTATTTCTTACCTAAACCTTTATCCTAAATGTTGTTAGAATGTATTTAATATTTGATTAAATCAGGAGTTCAAACAGTCCAAAAACAGAGGTTCAAACAGCCCAACACAGTAATAGTTCAAAAGGTTTAAGTGGAAGATATTCAAATTAGTAATGATGGAGTACAACGGCTATAAATTCAAATGACTAGTTCAAAAAGTTCAAAAGATTTAAGTGAAAGATATTCAAATTAGTAATGATAGAGTACAACGGCTATAAATGGCTATAATTTTCATTATATATATCAATGCCTCTAATGTAAACAAGTTACAAAAAAATCAGAAAATATTCTTTGATCTATAATCACTCACATCTATTCTCTGAAAAATTCCTTGAGAAGTGCTCTTCAATTTTTGTTTACATCCTCTTTCAGAAATTATACACTGAGACGTATAGCTTTAAGCCTATTTTTCCCGTGTGAGGTTTACAGAAAAACCAGAGTTTCATTTTTATATCTATCTTTGAGAGATAATTCTTGTAGCTTCTTGTGAAAGCAAAAACATATTTTTTTCAACCTTGTAAAAGTGTAGTACACTCAGTATTCTTGACTTAGACAGTCTATGTAAAATCCGTGGAGGATTGCTTCATTTGTAAAGAGGTTGCTAGCATCCCGTGAAGCTAGAACATAGTGAAAAATCTCAAGTGAAGCTTGAGGAGTGGACGTAGGCCGAGTTGAAACCGAACCACTATAAATTTGTTTGCCTGTCTCTCCCTTATCTCTTTATTTTATTTAAATTGTTGTAGCTATATTTCATATTTTTATTGTGCTAAAATCAGTAATTGGCATAGTTGTTAGAATACTTATTTTAATTATTTTTATTTCATCAACTATATTTATCTATTCTGCTAATCATAATTTTTATTAGGGCATTATTATTTTTAATTGTAAAAACTTAATTCACCCCCCTTTAGGTTGTCTTTTGGGTAACAATACTAAAGCGAGAAATATACTCACAACGATTTAACAAAAACACTTTACTCGTTTTGCGGGTGCTTAATGTGTAAATGTTGTATCCAACCTCCAATTGAGCTCTATCTTTCTTTTTCGCACTTTGGTGCTTTGCTTGCGAGTGTCTGCTTTTTTTTAAGCACTTTAATGCTGCGGTTTGTTTTTTAAAGCTCGGTTGCGTTTCACTCGCACTTCGGTGATAACTCCACTTTCAAACGCTCTGCACACATAGCAACACTAAAAAAAATTATAAAATCCTAAACTAAAAATTAAAATAAGAATATAACTTTAAATTAATTAATTTCGCCAGAAGTCTCTGACAACGACGCCAAAATTTGATGGGTCGTTTCACACACCAAAATTAAACACTAAACTATACCAAATTCTTTAGAATAATGGAAAGTCCAAGTATCGATCCACAGGGACAACCAAGAAATTAAACTAATTTAATTGTTAAATTCCTAAATTAATTTTGATAAAAAGATTAATTATTCATAACCTAATAATAATTAAATTAAACAAGCGAATAAACTAGCAATTATAAATAAAGATGAATTTACTGATTTGGGAAAAAAATTAGGGTAATGAGTTCACCACTAATTACATAAGGTTTCAATTTGAAATCAATTATTCTACAGTTCGAACGAAATAATACTACGCAACTACAAGTTCGAAGCATTTATCAAGAAAATTATCACGTTCAATGTATGAGCACGAACCATCTCAAATAGTATGAATTGTTCACTTTAAATTAGGGTAACGACACGACTCGTCCCTCGTAGTAGGGTTCGTCTCATACGTTAAATATGAAAGAATAGAAAACTATTGTATGAAAAACATTCAACAATCACAGAAAATCGAATACTCGAAGAAATAGTGGAAAATATATATATATGAAACTTCTAAAATACCATACAATTGTTCAAACATTTACATAATCAAAAACCAAAAAGAAAACCTAATTACATAGTTAGGGTTTCATCAAAACCCTAGAAAAGAAGAGCCTAGTCACTCATGGAGGAGTGGGAAGAGGTGGAAGAGATGGAACCCTTCATGGAAATTTGCTTTGAAGATTGAGAATCACCTTTTTCAAAACCCTAGCCTCCTCTTTCTCCTTCAATTTTTCAGAACCCTATTACAACCTATTTTCTGTCTTTTTATACCTTTGCTATATTTCAAACAGGTTCAAAACAGCGGCACAGAATCTGAGGTGAGGCCACATGTACGAGAGTGGTCACCGCACATGCGGGAAAAACCCCCGGCACGTGCGGGAAGCTAAGGCTCTGTTTGGCTGTGAGATAAAGGCCGCACGTGTAAGAATGAATTTTTTGCTCATTTTATGCTCCCATTGTGTACAAACCTGATTGACATTAAACAAGCATAAAATCTATAGTTTGTCAAGCAAGTAAAGTTAAGAGATCCTACTTAATGATCTCAATGTTGCACAATTCGGCCTTAATCAGTTGTTTTGTGAGAAAAAAAAAACTAAAATGATTATGATTTGAATGTAACATTTTATTTTATTAACTTTTTAACATATTTTATCTTTTAATAGGCTAATTTAATCCCAATCATCTCGCCAAATGGAGCCTAATTATGTTCTCACAGGCCTCAAATATTTTCACCACACATTATTTTATAGTTTGAATATTAATTTTAAAAAAAAAAACATCAATTATTTCAATATTAACTTCAATTATATTCGTACACCACAAAATTCTCAATTCATACTTTTGCTTACTATTACGTTCTATTTAACTCTTATCATTATACATTTCTAAACCATCTTAAATTGTTATCTATGAACTCATCTTGATTTGGTGATGCTACCTCTACCATTTTATAAATATATATTTATTTATAATTCTATATTTCTTAATCTTAACCGCTAGACATCCTTATCTCAACTACTCTAATTCTACGAAAGTGGTGTTTTTTAATTACCTAATATAATATCCATAAAATATTACTAACCTTCAAGATATTTTACAAAAAAATTCCTCTAATTTTGTTTGTATTTGTGAATTACACAACATGTCAAACATACCTCTCCACTTAAGCCGATATATATTTGATTTGTATGAATCACTAGCCAGTGGAGGCACTTTATCAGAAAGTAAAAATAAATAAATAGTAACTAAAAACAAACAAACAAATACAGAAAGCGCAAAACATAAGGATAATAAGAAATCAACCTCTCAACAGACTGTATACATCCTATTCGTGAAATTTTTCTGATACAGGACACCAACGTCCACGAAATTCAAAATGCCAATAACTACAACACTTTGAACTGATGTTACATAGTTACTGCTTTGCCATTTTTTCCACATAAAAATACATCCACAAATGAGAAAACCAGGCCAAGCCAATTCGCTTGAAAACATTTCACAGGGTTGCTTAGTGACCTCCTGTGTTCCGGTTCCATGACAAATAAGATGGATCTCCAAGTGGCCTGAGAGAGCGAGAGAGAGAGAGAGAGAGAGCAAATTAGTTTGAAAATTGTCGATTTATTGGCAAGGATAAAAGGCACAATAAGATGCGTCTTACCATACTGGATTGAATTATAAATAATTGAACATAACATATACACATTGCAACATAGTAGAGCGTGACGCAAAGGGACAAGGCCCACAGGTATCCAGCCCTCACACACAGTAATGAGTTCACTCCCAATCAAAATGAAGTTTTTAAACTAAGCTCATCAAATTGTAAGCAGCCAATTGCTTACCAACAAAGTCCCTAAAGTGCAAATGCCACAACCCCAAAAAAAAACAATAAAAAAAAAAACATAAACAATAACAAAACTTGGTCACTGAAAAGGGGCACACAAAAAAAAAAAAAGTAAAGAAGAAGCTCACAATTATTGGAAGGTGCTCCTGGCTAACACTAGAGTATTGGGAGTTGAAATTCATTTCTTTGCCTCCCAACTTGAAAGACTTGTGTGTGAATACCACATTTCAATTTTACTGAGACAATGGGAAGCACAAATTTAGCATACAATGATGGCACTCAATTCATAGCCTGACCCGTACAAAATAATCAGCATCACAAGAACAGGCATCTACGGTATTAGTAGTAGTTTTAGTAGTAGTAGTAGTAGTAGTAGTAGTAGTAGATATGGGTAAAAAGGATTCACCTTGGCTTAAATAGATATACAACAGTGAATGTCATTGCCAGAAAGAAGCAGAAGGCGCCAACGGTAAGGTAAGCAATGCCAAGAAAGTCATTCTTTCCACCAAGCCAGGTAGTGGTAGAGAGAACAAGCCTCTTCTTTCCATTGAAACTATAGGTGTTGTAATTGTTCTTCAATGTCACCTGAATAACGTCATTTTCCTCCAGATCCACCTCTATCTTCCCGTACAGCTTCCGAAACGTTGGAAGAGCTGCAGTTCTCATCCAAACAATGAGGTCCTCCTGGTCACTCAACTGTCACCACAAAAATAACGATGATAATAATAATAATTAGTAAATCAGATTGGGATTAGCCTCAACAATAGAAGCAGCTTTGAAATGCCTATGATGGCCATTACAATGGTTCTAATAACTCAATCCACATCCCCACAAAAAAAACAAAACCAAAACCAAAACAAAAACCAAAAAAGAGGAAAATATTAATGGCAAAATAGAAAAAAAGAAAAAAGAAAAAAAGCACATGTAAATGCATTTATATTAGATAGGAATTATTAATAGGGTCAATTTAATAGTAAAAAAGAAGGGGATTAGGAACTTTTTAAGAACTTAGATTAGAATTTACAAATAATACTTAGTTTTGTAAATAAATAATATTACTCTTAAAATATGGATATGTTTGCGGTGAAAATGATGAAACTGTCAACAAGTTTTTATCTTTAACGAAAATCAAGGAGGAATTTAACACTCATAATTCTATTAATCAATAATTTTTGGATTTCCACAGATTATATTAGTTATTAGAGGGCTGACTGTAATCTGATGGCATGATACTTCTCAAGTGATTCCTAACAGCACATGTCATCATATGTTACTGGACATAAGTAGAACAGGACCATTTTAAAGGCAGGCACAATATCATATCCAAAACCATAGATCCAGTTCAGGTCTATTCCGACTGATTTCAAAAGTAAAGTTTACATTACGCATCACATACATTCACAATTTTTTGGTGAAAAGACATGGAAATTAACAATGAGTCTGAAGAAAAGTGGTGCATAAAATATTAGGCATACCTATAACAAGAAACATAAGAAGTTGGTTATGCAAGGTGAAAGGCAACTTTTTCTCGTCAACTTTAAAATAGTACATTTAGACTCCTCAACTATAAACATTTTAAAAAAATAAAGAATAAATAAAAAATACAAAATGCAACCCTTCTGGAATGAGTGAAATTGATGCAATTTTATAGTTGAGGAGGTCCAAATGTACAGTTTTGAAATTGAGGGGATAAAGTGATATTCAATGATAGTTGACGGAATGTTCATGGTTAAAGCCTTACTGGTATTGTCGAATCGAGATATCCACCCCCTTTAAGAGTTCCATTCTGGAAGTTTTTAGGGTAGACATCTTTTCCAAACTTGTGTTCTCTATCACTCTTCCATGAGATACCCTTCTTTTTTACTGCCAATTGCTGGTTGTTGTGGGAAAAGCTATAAGTATCATTGAACAAACTCCAAGCTATAAGGCCGCAAGGCACAATTGATGCGCCGTTAGCAGTATCTTCAGGTTTACATGTGCTTGTATCAGTCTCACTAGTCGCATATTTCAACTGCTGATCACTCCGGCTCTTCACATACCTGGAAAAGGGGATAGATCATTACATGACACCAAAGAATTTATCAATGATAAATTTCACTTCAGGTTCTTGGCAAAAAAACAAATATCTCAAGGCTTCATTTTGTTGTGGCAATACATAAAATAAAGAAGAGTTGATACTTATGGATAAACCAAAAAACCTAAAACTACAACAATGTTATGTGAATTAGCTAGTGTCTATAAAACATGGGAGAAATGCAGTACATACAACCACCTTTATCTGAGGCTAAGAAATTCATTTGGAAAACGAATTCTGGCAAAGAATGACATATAGATATAATAAGTTCCCTCCCCAGCAGCTTAAACCTTTAGAGTGGTTGGACAGGTATATGGCACAGATTGGGCATATGTTTTCAGGCTGAAGTCATGGAAAGGACTACAGAGGAGAGGGCCATCTAGAGTAGAGTGAGAGCCATCTCAATGGAGAAAAGTGCTACCCACTACTAGAGCCACACGAGTGAAAGCTACCTACAATGAGAATTGAGACTTTCTCTCTCTACAATATGACCGTTGAAAGAGGAACTGGTTCCCATGGGAGATCAGCTGAAGAAACCGATCATCTCAATCAAAGCAAGAAGAAAATCAAGTGTATGACGGAGATAGAAGATGAAGTTATGGGGGAAAACACCATAAGACATGAAGAGACCAACATGGGTTGTGCCGAACCGAAGGAAAGAAATATTGTGGAGGATGACATGGTTGACATCAACAAAGAGGGAATCGCAACCACAGGAGAGGCTAACCATGAAAATGGGTTGATTTCGACTAAAAAAGGCAGCTCAATGAAGGAAAGCGCTGATGGTTCCAATTCTAGATCTTTTAAGCAAGCCCTCCTCTGATCCTGATTTAATGAAAACTCAAATGAAAAGAATTTTGAGATTTTTGAGAAGGATCCATGTAATTTCCTATCGGATGAGGAAGATGGAAGCAAGGAGGAGGTTGAAGAGAAGAAGATGGAAGAATCTGAGGACTTAACATGCCAAATCCCTAAAATCCGGGTGCCTGCCAGCCTTCTGAAGAAAGCTTGAAAACCTTGGGGAAAATGCCTCATTGTAAGATTGCTAGGCAGGACAATTGGTTATACTTTGTTTGTAAACAAGATAAAAAAGGTTTGGGGATTGCTGATTTCGAAACCTTAGATATTGGGCATGGATTCTTTATTGTAAAATTCGACATGATAGAAGATTATTCAAGGGTCTACACAGGGGGACCTTGGGTAGTGATGGATCATTATGTTACGGTTCGAAAATGGCAACATGATTTCAAACCGGATGAAGCGGAGGAGGATACCACAGCAATCTGGATGCAATTCCCAAACCTCCCAATCGAATACTACAACGAAAAGATCCTATTTCATATTGCTAAGGTTGGGGCGCCTTTGAAAGTGGATATTAACACTGCTATGGAGGCCAAAGGAAAGTATGCCCGGGTTTGCGTCGAAATGGACTTGAGAAAGCCAGCAATATCCCATTTTACAATATGTAAATATACATACACTCTGGAATATGAACATCATTCGTTTTGTTTCTCTTGTGGCAAGGTTGGTCATCGACGGGAAAAATGCAGCGAAAGGTGGCCTTCGGCGCCGGCAAGGATGAACCAGGATCTTACCGTTGGAGGTGAAGAAGCTCAAAATGGGCTGGGCCCATCAAGCAGTATAAAGAATAAAGAAAGAGATGACAAAGAAGGCCTAGATCAACCAAGTTATGGCCCATGGACCAAAGCTCCAAGCAGAAAAAGATGGCACAAGCCCAACAAAAACCAGAAAATGGATAATCAATTCCAGCACAATAGATTTGGAGCACTCTAGCAAGATCTTAGCCTGGTGGAAAATCAAGAGACCCAAAGTAGGCCTGAGACTGCCATGCGCGATACAAATGGAAAAGGGCCCAACTTCAAGTATAAAGAAAAGGCCCAAGCAACTAAAGGTATGAAAGCCCAAAATTTAGAAGGAAACAAAGCAAACAGGGCAATGGATAAGGAGGAAATCTAGAGAGGGAAACAAGTGAGCAATGACAAGCTACCATGTGATGAAACTGTCAGAGGCCTTGATGATAAGTCCAAAGATAGCACTCAGCAATTTAGCGCAAAGCATCTTACCATCTTCAACACTTCGGTTTCTAAACCAAATCCCAAATCCCAAATCTGAGAAAAGCTCTGTTGGTGATCATTTGAAGAAGAATAGCCCCAGAGTACCACCTAATAAAGATGGAGGATTGGAACAAAACTTTGCTTCAAAATGTAACTCAGGATGACGATCAACTGAGCGTGAATCATTATCGCGTGTATTTGGATAGGGTTCTTCTGATGATGGAACCAAGGAAATAAGTGTGTCACCACAGACTTAGACTGGTGGATAGAAGAAGTGAAGGTGAAAATCAAACCATGGTGGCAGATCAATGCGCACATCGACCAACAAATCGTCACAGTAACTCCAATAAAGTCAATGGATGAGAGATAGAATGAGGTAAGGGATATATTGGGGGTCCCAAAAAACTCCTATTTACCTGATTTTCATCGTATGTCATCTATGGATATGCTTTTTTGGAATTGTAGAGGTGCGGGTAACAATACGTTCAAAAGAACTTTGAAAGAGTTGTTAAGGACTCATAAGCCAGAAATCTTAGTTCTTATGGAAACTAAGGTTGAGTTAAATTCCATGGGCATGTTTTTTAATAGAATGCGGTTTACAGCCTCAGCCCATGTTGACCCTATTGGAAGAAGTGGGGGGCATTTGGACGTTGTGGAACCCGTCTCAAGCTAATGTGCGAGTGTCGGAGGCAAATTCTTAGGTCATTATCGCAACCGTTTCGAGACAAAACTACCCCGATTGGTTACTTTCAGCTATTTATGCAAGTCCAAATGCAAGGAAACGAAAGGAACTGTGGCAGAATCTGGAAAACATAGTCCAGCAGAACAATGATCCGTGGATTGTTGCGGGAGACTTCAACGACTATAGTTCTCAGGAGAAAAGGAGAGCAATTTCTGGAAATTCACTAATCAGCATTAACCAAAGCCAAAGGAGGTGCCAAAAATTCGTGGAAAGAATGCAACTTGATGGACCTAGGGTGTGTGGGTCCTAGATTGATTTGGACTAACAACAGACAGGGATGGGCAAATACTATGGTTCGCTTGGATAGAGCTATATGCAATACTGAATGGTGTACCCTTTTTTCCAATGGTTGTGTCCGCAACCTACCACGCACTTATTCTGACCAAGGTTCTAAAAAGCGGTTGCGGTCACTGTAACAGTAGCGGTGGCGCGGTTGTGGTTGTGGGGTGTAAAGGCCGTAGCGTAATGGTTGCGGTAACCGGAACCGTGAATTTTTTTATTTGTCACACAATTTGAAAAAAATTTACCGATACGCACATTTTTTTTCCATGATCATATTTATTGGGTTTTAAAATAAATATTGATCAATTTTTGTAAATTTTTAAGTATGATCCAATATATATCACATTTTTAAATCACTATAAACTGAGTTTTTTATATTTATTTTAATAATTAATGACTTTATATTATATAAAAAATCAATCACTAACTATTATATATAAGATAAACAATGACAAAAGTAAGAGAATAAATAAAAGACTAAATATATATATTTTTTAACCAAGCCAAATAGATAATGACCACACTTATTATTATTATTATTATTATTATTATTATTATTATTATTATTATTATTTTCAAAAAATATATAGATAGATGCACACAAACAAAATAGTTGAGTGATAGCAAGTAGATAGAATAGCATAGGTCTTACAACTTCAACAAATCAATAACATCTTCTTCATCTTCCCTCTTCTCTCTGTCTGTCTCTTGCTCCTCCATCTTCCCTCTTCATCTTTCCTCTTCTCTCTCTATCTCTTTTTCCCCATTTTTAACTTTTTTTTGTTGTTGTGTTTTTTTCGAAAGAAGCAGTTTAGAACCATTACGTAACGGTGCGCAACAGGCCGTTACGATCGTTACAGCATTGTTACAACCGCTATAGCAGCCGCTACGGCCGACACACCTGTGAATCTCAATCACACTACAAAAGCAGCCGTAACGGGTGGCGGTAATCACCACAACCATTACGTAACGGCGTTACGTAACGGTTACGGTTGCGGTCGCTTTTTAAAACCTTGATTACCACTGTACAATCTGCTATCCTGTGGAATGGTGAGACTCTGGAGGATTTCACTCTGGGGAAGGGCTTGAGGCAAGGAGACCCTTTGTCTCCTTATCTTTTTGTTCTTTGTATGGAACGTTTATCTAACATGATGTTCCATAAGGTTGCCACTAAAAATTGGAAAGGCATTTCAATTGGAAGAGGAGGCCCATGTATTACTCACTTGTTTTTTCTGATGATTTGCTTTTATTTTCTTCGGCGAACCCCACAAGTTGTGAGAATATCATGGAAACTCTTAATGAGTATAGTGATATTTCTGGCCTGAAAATTAATACTCACAAGTATAAAATGTTTGTCTCTCCGAATGTGAACTGTAGCTATGCCCAAAACCTCAGTTCCTTGTGTGGTATACCCTACTATTTCATGGATAACAGATATGGTGCAAATGATGCATGAAATTATTATATAATCAAAAATCAATAAATTAGTCAAAAATGACAAAGAACGGTGATGTATACCTGCGATGATTCTGGTAGAAGTTGTCAAGCTGATAATACACATAAATAGGTTGCTTCATACGCTTCGGTACCTGACATATTAAAAAAATTAAGATAAATTTATCAATTTCAAACTCCAAATATAAGTTTGTATTGCTATAAATAGAATCAGAAACCCGATATTCAAAATTTCAAATTATGTTATACAATAACAATGATGCTGATGCTGATGCTGATAATGACTGACGACGTAGAAGTGTACCGTCAGTGTTCTGTTGCAGGTTTTATCATCCTGGCTTTGAATGTATTTGATCTTATCACTTCTTGAGGCTGGAGGTATGCATTCAGTTTCATACCGATCAACAATTTCAACCACCTAATGCAAAGAAAGAAAACTAATAGTCAATGACATAAGAAAGACGAGACAAAAGAAAATGCAAAGACTTTGGTCAGCCTTGAGCATACATCCCGGGAAGCAAACAAAGAGGCAACTCCAATGGGAATGAAGACAATGCTAACAAGCATGAATGCTGAAATCACCTGGACAGAAGAAAAGGATGAGGGCTCAGACATAGATACTTCCTATAATGTTGCTCATATAATCAGGTATACATCAGAAATTTGTAGAATAAATGAACGAAAAAAAAACACTCACCCATCTCGGTGTAAGAATCGGCTTGCAAGCTGGAAGTTCTTGTTGCGTAAACCTTGAATCTAAAGGAAAAAATTGAGTGGAAAGTATTTTTGGTCGTTAACATCTTATTATGTCAATATATATATATATATATATATTATTTCTTGATGCTTCATGTACCATGATTGAAAAAGAAAGCCCCTGAACTAAATCAAGTCAAGCCAAGTCAATAACCTTCATCCCAATTACTTTGGTTTGCTTACATCCAGTTAATTCTATCTAAAGTCATATACTCAGTCAAGTTCAAGGTAATCATGTCCTTTTTATTGATGCAACCCATGTTTTTTTCTTTCCTTCCTCTATTTCTTCTACCATGCCGCACTCTCCTCGTAAGTGTGTTAATTGGTCTACGATGCATATGATCATATCATCTAAAGTGGCTTTCCCGTGTGAATTCATTTTGTTCACTTATTTATCTCTTCTAATCTCTTTCATTTTTTGAACTGCCCAACATTTTTTCTTAACTACCTAAGATTTAGTATCATAACCCAATGCAGGTCTTACAGCAGTCTTACCCTAACTAAAATCAAGCTTTATACCTGACGAAAATATTAGGGTTTGAGACAACTTGATAAGTATTTGTACAAGAAAAGATAGTATAACAAGTAAGTTTCAAGCACAAAAATGACTGAAACAGAAAACTGGACAGCAAGGTCACCCATCCCAGTAATTGTCTCACCCCAAGCCAATTATAATGGAGGAATTCTAATGGGATTTAACGCATTAATGTGGGCATGATTGGGCCCCATCAGCATGTATAGTTATAACAAAATTAAATAAGATGACTAGGAAACTGTTTGATGAATGGAGAAAAAAAAATCCAGTACCTACCTAGTACCTTTACAAGAATAAAAATAAAGTAGATTTCCAAAATTGCAACAATAGAACAACAATAAAGCTATTATGCAATGAAATTGAGAGAGAGAGAGAGAGAGAGTAATTGAGCATTGTTTAAGTTGCAACAATAGTGCCAAAAAATCAAATTGGATATATGACCAACAGATTAACTATAGAAGCGATATATTTGCTAAAATGATTACTAGACAAGAACAGATAGATGAGAAGGACAAAGATTGCGTTGTGCCTATAATTAGATAGTTTTCAATCACGGTAGGTATGCATCAAAGATCAACTGTGAGTCTTTTTTATCTATTTACCTTGATCATAGATGAATTAACTAGACACATTTGGGGTGGGAGATCCCACGGTGTATTGTTATTGTTGGCAGATGATATTGCGGGGTGGATAAAACTAATAGAGGAATTAACATTAAATTATACTATACAAATATTGCAGAACAAACTCATTAAGCTAGCCTGTGCTATGCATCAAGACATGAAAACAAACCAATTGCAAAACATATGACAGTAGTAGAAAAGAAAACCCATTCCTTCCAACTATTTGGTTATTAATTATCAGGACAATCGAGGATAGGATAGGATAGGATAGGATAGGTAGCCTCCCCAAACAAACAAAAAACCGAACTTCATATAGCTAGCTACACTACATCTGAGCACTAGTCGACTCAAATAGTATGGGGGAAAAAAAAAATAAAGGGAGGGGGGAGAGAGACAAACATTTGGGTCGCTTGGAATTTCTTCTGGGTGCTGATGAGGAATCGGTCGATCCAACGACTCCGGAGGTCGAAGAAGTAGCGTTGGAATTCATCATACAATTCCCGAGAGAGAGACGAGGGAATTGGGGTGGTTTCAGTTTAGGGGTTTCCTTGGTATAGCTATTCTCTATGCTTTGACTTTGGAAAGGTAAGAGAGAGAGAGAGAGACATGATATGGTGAGGAAAACAAAAAGAAGACCACATTACGTTTCTATCTCTGGACTGCCGGCCTCGGTTCCCACCCCCACCATCTCTCTCACTCTATCACTCTCTCTACATATCGATACGAATACGAATACGAATACGAATGCGAATACGAATACGAATACAAATATAGATACAGATACAGATACAGATACAGAAGAATATAGTATTGAATAGTGTGTGAGTAATTTTCTTACCACACTGCCCGTCTAGTAATCAGTTAGAGAACACCGGCAGAATAGATGGCTCCAGTAACCTGTACCAGAAAGAAAGGGCTCCGGCGGTAGCTCCTCCACCCGGGGCACTCCGACGATCAAGTCAGTATATCTCTCAAAGATAATCAAGTGCTAAACTCACAAACTTGAGTATAAAACTACGTACCTTAGACCCATGGGGTACCTCTCTTTTATAGTTAACTCAATCCAAGTCCTACTAGAAGAATGACTTCTATAGACTTCAATTTAGTAATTACTTAGGATTTCTCAAGAGATAAAGATAAACTCCCTAAGAGCTTTATCCTTATCTTGGCTAAGTCCCCTCTTTGTCCTAGGACTCTTGTCCCTTATCCGCTTATCTCGGATTCCGATATCTTCGGAGATAACCTCGGCAACTCCGAAATCACCTCGACGTAATTTCCATGACACGTGGTACCTCGGCCAAACACGTCGGCGTCGTCATGCCACGTGCTGGTACCCAAGAAATATGTCCCCACAATTGCCCTCTAGGTTCTATTACCTCGGCATCCTGAGGTGATGGAACCTACATCGATATTTCTTTCTGCATAATGGCTCAAAAACTGTTTGGCCGAAATAATTTATTTTTTAAGCCGATGTGCTCTCTTCGGGGAATAAGAATTCAAATGTACTTTATCACGCGCATGAGCTGTCATGCACATCTAACCGTTCCTTTCACGTGCTTTGTCTTTATTGGCCCGTGTCTGTGACGCGCCTACAAGCTGTCTTTTATTCGCCTGCGCCGTCTGACGTATCCGGTGCTCCAGGCGCAATCAATGCCCTGTTTTGCCGCCGTTTTACTTTTTTTACAAAACTTTTCTTTCCCTCTTCCTTTCTCCACTTTTCGTATTCTGATTTCTTGCTTTTTCTCTCTCTAAAAGCTTCAGCATTCTTCGAATCTGCCATTGCTCTAAGCCCCAATTTCTGCGACCGTCTTAATTCTTCTATCCCTGAGAAGCTTTTGCCACTGTTTCATCTGTCGTTTGATCTCGGTGAATATTGCTCCGGCTCACTTTATCTGGTAAGCAACTGGCCCCCCCCCTTTAACCCCTTTTGTTCAGTTCTTGATTTAGTTCTGGAGTTTTCCGCTATTACTGTTCTTCTTAAGCTTTATTTGTGAATCATTCACCTGAATGCGTCTTATTGCATGATTTTTTCACATGCCATGAGCACTTGCACTGTTTCACCACTGTCCTTGGCCCTTAACCCTTTGTATTCTTCGTGTTCTTGATAGCCCATCCTTGTTCTTGTCTCTGAAACTTCGCTTTTGTTCTCTGTTTTCTGTGTTTTTACCAGATCTGTGCCCTCGATCCTCGTCTTTATAATTTTAGGTTTGGGATTCGTCTGTAGAACCTTCAATCTTTAGGAAAAACATAAACAAACCTTACCAGCCCTTTCCCAGGTTTTGAAACCGAGGTTCTAGCAACCCTTTTGAAACACTTATTTTCTGAAACACAGCTTTCTGAACTTAGGCCGACGTTATGGGTATGTGGAGACATCGAGTAAATTCCCCAACAAAATTTGAATACTTTAGGCAGGAGTTCTCCATCCCAGCCGATGTTCACCTTAAGCTTGCTGGGGATGGCGATTCCATCATGCCCACAGATCATACGATGCCCTTTCCTATTGTAGCCTTTACTGAATGTGGACTCTGGCTTCCACTCAATCCCCTCTTTCGCGAGGTTCTCCACTTCTATAGGTTAAACCCTATGCAACTTACCATCAATTCTTATCGAGTGATTAGTGATATCATAGCCCTGGCTAGGCAAGAGAACGTTAGGATCACCCTTGCCGATATCCAATTTTGTTATACCATGTGCCCCCTTAACCTGAAGGAAAGAGGTTATGTCTACTACCTCAAGCCGAGGTCTATCGAGTTCAAAATTGTAGCCGACCTCCCGGATTCCAACAAGGGAGCCGGGGATGACTTTGTCATTGCTTCGGGAATTTGGGAATTTGGCCCAGACGAAGATGTTCACCTCTACCCTCTTCCTCGAACAGTTAAAGAGGGCAAGGGTAAGAGCCCAGTGCCAATACTTAGTTGTTTCTTTTCCAAGTTTTCTAAAACTCTGTCTGTTTCTAATGTTGGTTTTGTTTGTCTTGCAAATCTTCATCAGCCACCCAAAAACTTTCGTCAATCCTTCTTCCCTGGAAAAGACTTAAAGAAGCTTCTAGAACTTCCAATTCACAAGCGCAAGGCTCCCCTGTTACTAAACTTTATTCCGACATACAAATCCACATTGTCCGACGTCCCAAAGAAAAAGAAGAAGAGCCTTTCTCCACCTACTGCTACAACTATAACCGCTTCTACATCCCGAACAGATCAAGAGTCCACATCTGACCCTATCAATCAACCATCCATTTCGGCCCCATTCTTGATCCCAATACCAGAAAGAAAACACCGGCGACGCCTTGTCAAAACTGCCGAAATGGGTCGTGCAAAGCCAATTGCCCAAAATCTCCTTGCCGACCTTCCGACTGATGCTGATGTTGTACCATCCCAATCAATGCCCCCACCGAAGCCAAAAAGAATCAAGAAGGCCCAGCCTAAGGCCAAGGCTGTTGAGGTTGAAGATAGTTTGCCTATCTCAAAACTGGCTGAGAGTAAGAAGACTTCTTCTGCTCCTGCGAAAAGGTCTGCCGAGACCCAACCCTCCGAGTCTACCCAATCAAAGAAACCGAGGTCCTCCTCTGCAACGACTTCAAAATCTAAAGTGTCAAACGTCCCTTGGACGCCCGAGATTACCCTGGAGGACAAGCCGGTCATGGCTACTGATAGTGCCGACGACATTAATGTCGGCGTTGCCCTTAGTACAGCTCTTCTTCTCCCAGGTGATCTGGAAAAGAATGCTGGAATGAGTGAGTATGAAAATTATGCTTTCATGCTTCAACACTGTGTTCAAGTAAGTGTCTTCACTTGGTGACCTGTCTTTTCTTTATTTGTTTATAAAACTTCTGTAATAACTTCTTGCTTTTGTGTTCTTTCAGGCTGTTCAGCATGCCCACTCCTTCTCCATGCAATCTTTTGAGAACAGGGAGAAGTTAACTGACTTGCAGAAGGAGTATTCTGCACTCCAGAAGATCAATAAGGGTCTTCAAGCAAAAATGAAGAAATTGGAAGACCAGGCCGAGGCTGCCACTAAAGCCCAAACTTTGGCCGAAGAAAAGGCCGAGGCTGCTGAAGCTGTAAAGAAAGTTGTCGAAGCGCAAAAAAATGAAGCCGAGGACAAGGCCACCCAAGCCGAGAAGGAGCTTCAGGAGGCCTTGGCCACCAAAAAGGCTGAAATCAAATAAGCTGATGAAAAGGCTTATGCTCAGGGCATGGCCGACGTCACTGAGGAGTACAAGCTTCAAGTCAGGCAAGCATGCAACAGGGGATTTTCCCTTGGTTGGATGTCTCTGCTAAAAAGACTTGATCTCCCTGCAGACTCGCCTTTCCGTAATGCCGACGCTATTCCTCTCCCATTTCCTCCTCCAAGTCAGTCCGAAGATGAATCTGGTATGAGCCTGAGGATGGAGATGATCAGGATGCTGAGGCCTTGATGAAGAAACCTAAGGGTGATGCTGGGGTCAAGTCTCCTTCTCAAATTGAGCCCATCCTGGACTTAACTTTAGATGAAGAGGGTGATGAGGTCGGGGAGGCACCTAGGGAAGCTGTTACAGGGGTATTATCGTCCGACCTCCTATTAGCTGAAAGAAGTCTTAACAAAACGATTACAGAGATTGATGCCGAGCTGGCAGCAGAGAAGGCCGCTGAAGTAGTTCCACAGGAATCTGCCGAGGTTCAGACCCAAATTGCTTCTGAAGCAGAAGAATCATAACTTCCATGTTTTTTTGCACTTTTTTGTTTGTTTGGCAATATAGGTTTCTTTGTATGGCCGATGTGCCTTTTTCTGAACAATTTTTCTTATGGACGCCTCAATCTTTTAATGTCTTTTTGATTTGCTTCTGCATTTTGCTACCTTTGTGCAATCTCCTCGGGGTTACATACCTCGGGTATAATAACATCAAACTTTATTTCAGCAAGATTCAGTCCTGAAAAACTTTTGAAAAAAATTCCAACAAGTGTTTAACATATACAATTCAATGTTTACTGTAAGGTTCTTCTTAAGTTTCAACAAGTACGTAAACAGTAATTTCGGTCTAACCTACTTGTAAATTGCTGCAAATTTCAACAAGTGTTAATATATACTGTAATGTTTTCTTCAAGTTATAATAATGATCTACTTGTAAATTGCTACGAATTTCAACAAGTGTTTAAACAATATACTAAGCTTTTATCTCAACCTGTAAATTGCTGCAAATTTCAACAGATGATCGCACGTCGGCTTAACATTATCTTGTAAATTGCTATAAATTTCAACAAGTGTTAAGCATCTTCTTTGGTTGGATCATCCTGTAGATTGCTATAAGTGTGCAAACTATAACCTCGTCTTTACTTCGTCTTGTAAATTGCTGCAAATTTCAACAAGTGTTAATACAATATACTAAGCTTTTACCTCAACCTGTAAATTGCTGCAAATTTCAACAAGTGTTTAAACAATATACTAAGCTTTTACCTCAACCTGTAAATTGCTGCAAATTTCAACAAGTGTTTAAACAATATACTAAGCTTTTACCTCAACCTGTAAATTGCTGCAAATTTCAACAAGTGTTTAAACAATATACTAAGCTTTTACCTCAACCTGTAAATTGCTGCAAATTTCAACAAGTGTTTAAACAATATACTAAGCTTTTACCTCAACCTGTAAATTGCTGCAAATTTCAACAAGTGTTTAAACAATATACTAAGCTTTTACCTCAACCTGTAAATTGCTGCAAAT